CTCTTAATATTTGACCTATTTGGATCTGTTTGCAGACTGTCACCTTTACTATCCTCTATATAATAAAATATACCTCAGTCCATTTGTTTGGAGTGGAAAGTGTCTTTTACGTCTCCGATCGAATCCCCGAACCTCTCTTAACAACATGGAAAGGGCCATGGTTCTTGGCAATTAAAGTCTGAGGCAGGGGCCAGCCTGGCAGCATAGCAGTTAAGTTCGTGCATTCAGCTTCAGTGGCCCGGGAGTTCGCCGGTTTGGATCCTGGGCGTGGACCTACTCAGTGCTCATCAAGCCATGCTGAGGCAGCATCCCACAGAGAAGAGCTACAACTCTACAACTATGATACACAACTATGTACTGGGGCTTTGGGGAGAAAAAACAAAAAGAGGAAGACTGGCAACAGATGTTAGTGCAGGGCCAATCTTCCTCAAAAAAAAAAAACTGTTTAAAGTCTGAGGCAAACTTTTATTTTTTTTCTTTTAGAAGCGATCTACTACTTTTCTCTAGATGTTGGTATAGTATTTGATCTTTGAAGTTCAGTAATTTCATTAGACGTGGTGCTATTACTTTCTTAGTACACAGTATTGAGATCAGATACTCCTTTAATTTAGGAAAGATTTCTTCTGTTAAAGCTTTGAATCTAGATAGTTTGGGTGAAACACTGGCCAACACCAAAATCCCACCTCCCCCTTTTCATTGTCAGTTTACCTAGTGGCATAAGGTTTCCTAAAGAGGCAAAATAAGATGACTCAAAATAACACATCATATATTTTACATTTATATATTTTTATCTCTCTATATTTCCTTGAATGATCATGTATTGCTTCTGTAATTGAGTTATTTAATACGTCTGTAAGAAAATGGTTGAACTCATTTAGAGTTTCAATATCCATGGTGACACCCAGCCTTCAAGTGCTGTATGATCTATCCAGGAACACCAAGAGTGGGTAGGCAGTCAGGGACACAAAGGCACAGCCTTCCCCTGGTCCTCGATGCCAACTAACTTTCATATCGATCCATGTGTTTCATGACCAGTGATTTATTTTATACAACTTGTCTCATATTTCCACTATGTGTTTTAATAGTCATTAACATCATTATTGTACAGAACACATTTGTACTATGCAAACTCATTCTCTCTGGAACCACTGGCTGGAAAAAGCACAATTTAAATGAAATGCACACTCTTAACGTTTCATATTGCCTGACGTAAGCAAAAAGTCAGTGTACAGGAAAGCGAGGCTGAGCAAGCACAGCCTTCAGTGCCTAACAGTGCCAGAGGCTGAGCTGCCCTAGGGGAACAATCACATTGTTGCAAGAAATAAGCACCCGAGAATAAAAAGCCAGAACCAAGCGAGGACTAGAATTTCATGACCTGCGGATCCCTTTGCCAGGTGCTCAGGTGTGTTGTGTGATGAAAGATTGTCCAAACACTTTGTGCAGCCTGTCTGGGTTCCAAAGGCTTTTAGAACTCATCTATGTTGCAAATAAAGACAAAGACCTACATTTTAAAAATAAAATCCGGATGCACTTGAAAAGAGTAACCTTCAAAGCATTAGTTTGTCCAGGAAACTGCTGGCCAGTGAGGCCAAACCGAGCAGGCTACAGGGCAGTGCTGGCGGGGGCAGGTAGCCTGGGCGGCCCTCCCGTTATGGGAAGGACCTGAAATGCACACATGGTTCGTGGGTGGAGAAACAACCCAGTCCCTGATGCTGCGCTCGCTGCGGCGCTGCTCCTGCTTGCCCTGGGGCATCCCTCTGGGGGCCCTCCATGGAGGAAGAGCCCTTCATTTCTACAGAGGCCTGGAGCGAGTCCCGAGCCTTCTGCCCTCCAGCGGCAGCTTCCAAAGCTTAACTCGCAGAGGTCCAGGCTGCACGGCTGCACAAGTGGGATTTCTGATGATTTCTGAAGCTTGACTTGCAGATGCAACTCTTGCTGCATCGCGCGCACCGGAACGGCCTCTCTCGGGTGTGGATCCGCTGGTGCTGGGCGAGGAGGGTGCTGTAATTGCAGGTCTTCCCGCACCGCGCGCACCCGAAGGGCTTCTCGCCGCTGCGGACCCGCCGGTGGCGGTGCAGCGTGGAGAGCCGCGTGAGGGCGCGGCCGCACTGCCGGCACTCGTGGGACTTCTCGCCCGCGTGCGCGCTGCGGTGCTGCGCCAGGTGCGAGCGCTGGCTGAAGGCGCGGCCGGACTCCCCGCACTCGTGTGGCCTCTCGCCGCTGTGGGTGGCCTGGCGCCTCACCAGGCGTGAGAGATATCGCCCTTGTCGCACGTTTCGCACGTGTGCGCCCTCTCCCCTTGAGTGCTTCTCGCGTGGGTCCCAAGGTGTGGACTAAGGAAAATGTTGGGTCCCCATTTACTGCATTTCTGGGCACCTTCTCCTTTGGAGATTGTCCAGTGTGTCCTGTGTAACTGTCTCTCCTGGAGAAGGAAGTTCTCAAGGCTCTCTAACCTGCCCTCTTGACCAAGGGCTTCTCTGCAGACCGGTGTTGAAGTCTCACCCCCTGAGAAGCTTCCAGATGCTTCTCCTTGAGGTTCTGCAGCTTGAGACATGCTCACTCTTGCAGTTGCCTGCTTACACAAAGACCCCGGGCTGGAATCTGCAAGAAAGAGAAAGGGCCTGCATGTCTCCTGTGCTGGGAGGTACACCTGCACCCCCACCCCCTTCACGAGTCAAGCATCAGGCGGTCAGCGGGACCTCTCCACCGGGTGTCCCACAGGCAACCCCAGTTCATTGGCTGTGCTCACCTGTCCCCACAGGCCTTCCTCTGTATGTCCCAACTTTGTGAGGCCACATCGTCTCCCCATCTTCTTCTAGTTGAGGGCTGTGGCAGATGCTGCTATCACCCCACCTCAGGCACCCTGTCCACTTCGGATTTCCACCCCAGCTGCAGTGGATAGCTCTGCTGAGCTCTGACTGCCGCCCACTGTCAGCATCCTCCGGGTGCACGTACAAGTCCCTGGCCCTTCTGCAGAGCCCTGGGCTGCCAGCTCACGCTGCACTAGAGGTACTGCCCAGGATGGAGGCAGAGGATAGATGCCCCTCCTCCCTCCCTCTGATGGACAATTCCGGATGCCTTCTGCACACCTCTCAGTGGTTCCAGAGCTATCATGCTCCATATGCTCACAGCAACAACTCTCATATGGACTTTTGTCTCCCCCTTCTCCCTCCCTCATGTTTCCAAAATTGCTGCCTTCCAAGTACACCATCTACACCTCAAAGTCTCAGGCTCTGTGCTCAGGGGACCCAAACTAAAGCGAGTGGTACTGGAAGTGGCCCAGCTGACTCCCAGGAAGGGTTTCTGGTATGGGGCCCACTGCTCAGACGACCACAGGCCTCCAGTGCAGGGGGTGACGGTGAGAAACCTGGGGCTGCAGCATCAGAAGGCTAGGACCTTTGCCGTGGTAGGTGGAGAGAGGGCAGGCAGGAGGGGAACACCAGGTTATGTGGTTGTTTTGCCCTCTAGCTGTGCGGGGCAGTTGTCTTCAGGAGGACCATGGGGTCGCCTGGCCTTTGTAAATGTCCTGGACAGCACTGAGGAAAGTGACAGGCTCAGGGCAGCCAGCTGCCTCCAGGGGAGGCTGTAAGAGCCAGAGGCCTCCATAGCCATCCTAGAGCCCTCAGCTCCCCACTGTGGACATCCCTGTGCTGACTGTGGGGCCCAGGCTTAACCATAAGCAAGGCCAAGCACCAAGGATCCTGAAGGTGCAAGCTGGACCGTCGCCCCCTCGGCTCAGATCAAGGCCTGGAGAGAGAAGGAGCAGGACCCTGGCACCTGCGGTGGGGATACTTGGCGATGGACCGTGGTGTTCCTTGAGACAGACAATGGGCAGCTGGCCAGCCTGCTGCTTGACTTGTGGAAGAAGAAAGGCCAAGCGATGGGGAGTGAAAGGCCAAGGTCAGAGGCCATGATGGAGAGCTCAATCCCTCACCCAGATCCGGGCAGTTCTCAGACCTAGGGCCACTGACCAGAGGGGAGGCGGGGTCCCCTTGAGAAGAACACTCCTGCAAGTTAGTACAACAGATATATTCTCAACCCTTCTCCAAAGAGCTGAACCCCAGGGAAAGAGGCACACCCATGCCCGGAAGGCTGCTGGGTACAGGGTCTGAGCTGACACTGAAAATAGGGCCCCAAAATGCCATTAGAGTGGGGGCATATGGAAGCCAGGTGACAAAAGGGGTGGAGGACCACGTCACAGTCTCCCTGTGGCCCCCATCCCTGAGGGACTAATTGGGATGGGTGCACTTTGCAGGGACAACCCTCTCCTGGTCTTCTGACCAGTGGAGTAAGAGCCATTATGTTGGGAAGGGCCAAGTGGAAGCCAGGGCACTGCCCTCAGCCCTGGCCAAGGTCATTAACCAGCAGCAGGGCTGTGCCCATGTGGCCACCTCAGAGACTTGAAGGATGCAGGGATGGTGGCCCCACGATGGTCCCATTTGGTCCACCAGCCTGGCCCCTGAACCACCCAATGGCTCATGCCTGGTGCCAGGGAACCACTGGAAGCTTGAGCAAGTGTCGGCTCAGCCACAGCTGCTGGGCTACATGTGGTGCCTGTAATGGACATGCAACAACACCTCGGGCACCCGGGAAGGGGCTCTCAATTTGGGAAATGCGTTCCTCTCAGCTCCCATCAGAGAGGATCAAAGCAGCTGGCGTAGGTCATGGGATGGACAGCAGTGCGTGTTCATGGTCCTGCCCCAGGGCTGCGTCCGCTCGGTCACAATGGGGTCCACAGGGACTTGGACAGCTGTGACATCCACAGCAGCCCAGTGGTCACTGTGCTGATGACCTCGTGCCAATTGGATCTGGTGAACAAACTGGAAGTGGCAAGGGTTCCCGATGCCCTAGAAAGATGCCTGTGTGGCAGATGGTGAGAGTCAACCCTACAAAGGGTCAGGGGCCTACCACACCAGGGAAGTGCATCAGGGGCGGAAGATGGGGACTGCCAGGAGGTGAGCTCTTCAGGAGAGGGCAACTGTTGTGAGTACCTGATCTGATGTTTTCTCTTTTCGGTCAATCTGATGTTTCTCTTTTTGATTGATCTGATGTTATTTCCCTTTGGTCGGTCTGATGTTTCCCTTTTCAATCGACCTGATGTTTTTCCCTCTTGTTTTTTGACCTATTCGGATCTGCTTCTATCTCAGTCGATCTGATGTTTCTCTTTTTCGATCGATCTGATGTTTTTTGTCTTTTGATCAGCACTCCTGCCTAGCCACGTCAGTCAAAGGGACTCTCCCCGGCGTAGGGGGGCGGATATTGAGTGTGCCGATCTGATGTCTCTCTCTCTCTCTCCCCTATTTCTTTCCATTGTTATTATTTGCTTATGCTTATGCTGTAGTATACCTATATATATATATATATATATATATATATATAGCCTATTGTCTTCCCAATAAATATACACACTATTTCTCACTAAAACCAGCATATTGGTGTCTTATTGGGCCAAAAGAGTCTATTCCATAAGTCAATCAGAACGTCGTGCCCCTTCTTTTCTCCCCTGACACAACAGCAACGCAGCTCCCGTCCTCCTCGCCAGGAAAGCAGCTCGCCTAGTGGGCCTCTTGGGGTTGAGAGACAGCATATGCCACGCTTGGGGACACCACTCTCACCCATCATCACGTGACCCACAGGCTGCCAGTGTCAAGTGGGGCCCAGAAGACGCAAGGGCTGTGCTGCAGGCCCCGGCTGCAAGGTGCCGAGGAACTCCTGGGCCCTGTGTGGAGTCCCTGGCTGGCTGTGCCATGCAGAGCCTGCAGATTCCGGGCTGGGGCGCCTGCTGTAGCAGGACACACTTGCCACTTCAAAAGTGGCGTCTGATGTACTGCTGGGCTTTGCAGAGACCGTGTGGTTAGAGCTGCCATCAGCAGCTGAGTATCGTCAGATCCACCCGAATGGGCCTGGCAGGTCCAGAAGACACAATCGGTCACGTGAGCAAGGCCCAGGATCCCCATGTCAGTCAACTCTCCGACACCAGCATCTCTGCCTCAGCTTGTCCCTGGGCCTCCCTGGGACCCCAATGACGGGGTGGTCCAGGGCCTGCTTCCTGCCTGGGTAGGCTCCAAATGTGGGAGGAGCTCAGGGCAGTGCACCTGCCTGTCAGCTCCGTGGCGAGGAAGCAGGTGGACCCCGGTCAAGGTCATACCTGGGGAGAGGTGTTTGATGGATGGCATGTAGGTGTGCTGCAGGGGAGGCACTCAGGGACTAGTGGACAGGATGGCTTGTCCTATGGACGTCAGCCAGCCTCTGTCCTTGGTCATCGGATCTTGACCAATGAGCCCACGGGCAGAGGAGCCTTAGTGCAGGGAGCAGACACACACAGCTCTCTCGCCCAGGCTCATCTAGGCCCTGTCCCTGCTGAGGCCATGATCTGTTAGGAGCAAAGACCAGATCCTGAGTCTGAAACCTGCAAGGGGACTGACCAGTGCTGTGGGCAAGTTAATCTCTTTCCACCCTGCCGGGGACAGTGGCTTGGCCCGACCAACACTGACATCTACTCCAGATCCAGGTTTGCCTGCAGCACCATGGTCAGCGCCCCACTTCTAGGGCCCACCCCTGGCTTCTTGACGTGGGAGCCACCGGTCACAGTTTTGGACCAAGGGACCAATTTTGTGGCAAAGGAGGTGAAACAATGGGTGCAGGGCCCCCAGATCCGCTGGTCCTACGATATATGCATCAGCAGAAGCAGCCAGCCAGCCTGATGGAACATTGCAACGGTTCAGCCAAGAAGCCAGCTGGGGCCTCCAGGGAGGGCACAGGCATCGAACCAACCACAGGTGTACAAGGGTCCAGGAGCCATCACCTCCCGTGACCCCATGCAGAATTTCTGCTTCTTGTTACTAGATCCTTTGGCTCTACAACAGAGCCTGCATGGCCTGCAAAACCGAAAATACTTTCAGTCCCACTCCAGACCTCCAGGGAGGGGAAAAGGCTGACAATTGAGTCCAATCGCCAATGCCCAGTGATTTAATCAATTGTGTCTATGTAATGGAGCCTCCATAAAAACCCCACACGAAAGGCTTTGGAGAGCTTCTGGGTCGGTGAACTCCCAGAGGTGCTGAGAGGGTGGCATGGAGGCTCCATGCCCTTCTCCCAGACCTCACCCTATGCATCTCTTCCATCTGGCTGTTCCTGAGTTGCACTTTATAAAAAACCAGTAACCTACTAAGTAAAGTGTTTCCCTGAGTTCTGTGAGCTGTTCTAGAAAATCAGTTGAATGCTAGGAGGGGGTTGTGGGAACCTCTGATTTACAGCTGGTCGGTCAGAAGCACAGGTGCCAACCTGGACTTGTGATTGGCACCTAAAGTGGGGGCAGTCTTGTGGGACTGAGCCCTTCACCTGCAGGGCTGCACTAACTCCGGGTAGTCAGCGTCAGAAATGAGTTAAACTGTAGGACACCCAGTTGGTGTCCAGAGAGTCGGAGAATTGGTTGGTGTGGGGAAAACCCCCAACACATTTGGTGTCAGAATTGTTGTTGTGAGAAATAGAGAAACAGAGGGAGTTTTCCTTTAAGGGGAGGTGGGCAGACACGTCCCGATTGGGTGATGATCAGCCAGTGGGCCACCACCATGCGTGGCCAGCAGCCATTCTGGGAGGCTGGATGTCTGGGCCAGACCACTGAGTATTTTGGCTCTTGCCCCTGTGCAACCCCACCTCCAACTTTCCTGACTTGAGCCAAGAGTCCTCGTGGCGTTGGCCAGTTTGGTTTCAATTTTCTGATGCTCATCCCCTCAGTTGTTGGGGTTGTTGGGAGAGAAAATGAGGCACGATTCGTAAAGCACCTGGCAAGTGCTGGGCTCCCGGAAAGTTCTCCACAACCTGCATCTACTGCAACGGTGGCGAAGCCAACAACCACAGCCTCTACTCCTCACCTGCTACCTGGCTGCTGGTTTCCAACCTGATGGGTGTCCATGTGCCCAGGTACCCACACCAAGGGACAAGCCAACAAAAGTGCCCTTTATGACTCTGCGTGACTGTCCTTCCATCCAGCTGTTCACGACACCCACGCTGGCTGGCCGTGTATACTGAACAACCTGAGGCCCCTGGCTCCCCTCACTCACCCATGCGGGGATCTCCCGGGATCTCTCCTTCCTTGGACCCCAGCAGGTCCAAGCCCCAGGGCTCCTTTCCTTGTTCCAGCTGGGAGATCAGATCTGGTTTGGATCCTGGAACTCCTGCCCGAGAGGAAGCAGGTGGACCGAGGTTCCAGGACACTCTCAGCTTCCTCGCCTCAGAGGTAGCCCTGGGACTGGGGGCTCATGGGCCCTAGGATGAAGGCTCAGAAACAGGGATTCTCCCCAGGAGGTTGAGGGGGTGGGGCACAGGGCAGAGGTGTGGGCTCAGGGCAAGAAGGACAATGGGCTCAAGGGAGGTCTGCAGCTGTGAGAGAAGTGGACATTCCACTCACAGGGGCAGCAGAGCACTGGGAGAGGCCCTGCCCTGGGGATGGGCCCAGAGACCCCATCTGTGACCTGGGCCTGGGAACAGAATAGCCTGGCTCTGGTCCCTGAGTCACAGCCAGTCTGGCCCCTCCAGGACGCCAACTGAGTTCTGAATGGAGACTGGGAGTGGGGAGGAGGGAAGGCCTGGGTCTGAGACCCCTCACCCAGCAAGGCCAGGTTCCTGTAAGTCTCCAGCATCACGTCCCTATACAGGGCCCTCTGCCCTGGGTCCAGACATGCCCCCTTCTTCCTGCGTGAAGTGCACAGCCACATCCTGGAAGGTCAGTAGGCCCTGAAACAACACTTGTGCTGCCCATGGGGTCACCACACAGAGTGGGGCAGGGTGGAGGCAGACAAGGGGCAGGGGGCAGATGGCTGATCATCAGGTATGTGGGGAATATGGGTTGTGGGGTACGTGGGTACCTAATGACAAAGGGGTACCAGCACTTCCAACGCATCCTGTTCAGCTGACCTCATCTCTCTCCTCCCTCCATCCCCCTAACCTGCTCCCCACTGTCTTCTTTGGTTAATGCCCCTCCCCAGCCTCAGGGAGGCCTCCGAGGAAGAGAAGTGGGGACAAGGGAGGCGCCTCTGAGCCCTTCGTCCTGGAGAGGACCTGCGACTCAAGACCCCGGGTGCGGCAGCCAAGGAGCCCCAGGCCCCGGGGACAGACGAGCTCACCTGGGGCCAGGCGGCCGGGGGTGGGGGGTGGGGGGCTGCGCGCCATGCCGGCTCCTGGTCCCCCCAGGCGATGGCAGTGGCGGCGGACTGCGGAGCGGCGAGCAGGCGTGGGGGGCGCCGGCCCGGGGGCTCCGAACCCAGCCCCGGCCCTTCGGCGGCTCCGGCGACCAGGCCGGCCAGGACGGGGCTCCCGCGGGGCTGACACTCTGCGCGAACGTGAGCCTCGGGCGCGCGGGTCAACGCACCATCCAGCCGGGGAGCTGGAGAAGCCACTGTTCGGCCCAGCCTATCTGGGGCGCAACCGCAGCGCCGGGCTCCCAGGTCCAGCGGCCGCCCAAGGCGGGCCTGCCGCGGTCCGGGAGCCGCATCCCCGCGGGCCGAGCGCGCCCCCGAGGCCCGAGAGCGGCCTACCCAGCCCGCGCGCGGTGGGCGGGGCCCCGGGGCTCCTCCCCTCTTTTCTCCGCAGACCCCGCGCCGACCTCAACCCCGCCTCCCGCGCGTGTGCGCTCAGGCCGCGCCGCGCCGTCTCTAGGCCCCGCCCCTTCGCGTGCGCGCGCTCAGGCCCCGCCTCCCTGAGTTATGTGTCCTGGCTCACCTTGGAAGCTTGCAAAAGGCGCAGATAGCGGGCGTATCGCCGGCTTGGGGCTTCTGGTTTCGCGGGTCTGGGTGGATTTGGGAATGAACTTGAGCAAGTTCTCCTAGAGACTCTATTGAAGGCAGACTTAGGAACCCTGTCTCGGAAAATCCTGTTCCTAGGACAGTCCGCATCCCCGCCACCGCCTGGGCAGTGCCGCCCTGGGCCCCTGGACCCGGACCTCAGAGGTCCTGCGAGTCACACACGCGCGTGCGCGCGCGCGCGCGCCTCTGTCCTCCAGGATCTGGGTTTGCGCTGGCGTAGCACTGCCTTAAAAAAAAGAAAGAAAGAAAGAAAGGAAAGGGGAGGGAAGAGGAGGGGAGAAAAAGAGGCAACTGGTCCAGATGTCAGGAAGGGTTGTGGCTGTGCCCAGCTGGTGTCGGAAACGTACTGCTTCCAGGTATAAGAAGAACTTGAGCAGTGGACATGCCGCTTAGGTAAAGGAAAGACAGATGAATTCCTTGTCAAATCCTCCGCGTGCAACTGATGCAGCATGAGGAATAAGCAGTTTGTAACAGCGAGGACCATCCTTTTTCTTGCTTCTCTTGTGATCACACTGCAGGGACAGGATAGACCCCCACCCCAAATTTGGTTCTGGTGTGGACTTATGATGCCACACACACACACACACACCGAGAGGATTTGAAAAGATTTGTTACCTCATTAGGAAGCTTTTCTGGGGCAGCAAGGCAGGCCTGCGAAATGGCTTGAGAGAGCATGGAAAGCAGGCTGGTTTGGGGTTTTGATTGTGGTAAGAGGGTGGGGCCAGGATGAGGGTTCCCACTTGCAGGCTGGGACTTGGAGGGAGCTCCCAGGCTTTCTTATCAGTTTGCCCAAATGTGGGGCAAAGGGAAGAGAGAGAAGTGAGACTTAAAATCTGTCAGCAGTGAAACGTCTAATAACGCAGTCAGACTATTACATCTTCACCCTGCAATTTGCAGCTTCAGAGGTCCTCACAGATTAGTGTTGTATTCATGATATTTGTACATTTGCATTATCAAATAATTCATATTCCTTTTAAGCATGTATATTTGTAGGTTTAGACGTTGCATGCGTGCAGCCTGATACTGAATTTTTACCTTGGCAACTAAATGGACATTGAACCCTAGAATTGCAAATGTTTTATTTTTATAAGCATATTTAATGACATTTAATTAAATTTTCAAAAAATTAAATTTCAACATTTCAGCTTTAAAGTTCAAGAGCAGGTTAAACTAATCTATGATGAAAATGATCAGAGCAGTGGTTGTGTCTGCAGGAGTCGGGGGGCATCGGTTGGGCAAGCCCTGAGGGAACGGGGGTCTGCGTATGTCAAAGTTTATATAAGGGTACCTGTAAGACATATGCATTTCACTGTCTGTAAATTTTACCTAAAAATATCCCCTATAAACATATTGAACTTAGTGATTTTCATGCTGAAGCATTTAAGAGTGAATTATACTAAGGTCTGTTACTTTGAAATGCACCAAAAATAAGATGAATGGGTAGACAGACGAATAAATACATGATAAAGAAATATAGCAAAAAGGTAATTGTAGAAACGAGGTAGGGGGTATATGAGTGCTCACCGTACAATTTCTTCAAATGTTGTATTTTTAAAAGTAGAGGTAATTAAATATTGACATTTTTTCATTTATTTAAATTTTTATTTTACATCTTTATACTCATTAACTATAGTTTATGTTTTGGTTTTTAACTTTCAACTTTTAATTTTGAAATAATTTTAGACTCACAAAATAGTACAAAATAGTACAGAGAGTTCCCATGTTCTTGTCACTGAGTATTTCCCAGTTATAACACCTCACGTTGTCAAAGCTAGCAAATTGATGGTGGTATAATGCTATTACGCCATGTGCAGATCTTATCTGGATTTCATCAGTTGTGTACGCACTCTTTATTTTGGGAGGGGGCATATAGTTTTTTGAAATTTTATCACACATTTGGATTCTTGTAACTACCATCACAATCTGGATACGGCCCTGCTCCATCACCACAAAGAAACACCTTTGTGCTACTCCTTCCTGTATAGTCACACCTCCCCACAACCCTAACCCCTGGGAACCACCCCAGGGCTCCATCACTATAATGTCGTCATTTTGAGAATGTCATATAGATGGAACCATACAGTATGCAGCCTTTTGAGATGGGTTTTTCCACTCACTAGAATGCCCTGTGATCTACCCACATGGTGGCATGCATCAAAAATTTGTTCCTTTTGACAGCTGAGTGGTCTTCCACGGTGTGGATGGATCACAGTTGGCTTATTCACTCCCTGTTGAAGGACATTTAGGTTGTTTCCAGTGTTTGGCAGTTGTGACGAAAGCTGCTGTGAACATTCAGGTGCAGGCTTTTGTGTGAACATAAGTTTTTACTTCTGTAGGATAAATACCCAGGAAATGCAATTGCTAGGTCGTATGCCAAGTATATGTTTAACTTTATAGGAAGCTGCCTAACTTTTTTCCAGCGTTCTTTCTCATGTCCCAGCAGCGGTGCAGGAGTGATCCCCTTCCTCGCCAGCACGTGGTGTAGTCACTATTTTCCATTTTGGTCATTCTGATAGACATCTCGTCATGGGCTTAATTTGCACTTTCCTTATGGCTCATTATGTTGGACATCTTCATGTGCTTATTTGCCATCTGTATACATTTTTTGGTCAAGTGTTCAAATCTTTTGTCTATTTTCTAATTGAATTATTTGTTTTCTTAAAGTTTAGAGAATTTTTCATATATTCTGGATACAAACACTTTGTCAGACATGAGATTTGCAATTATTTTCCCCCAGTCGGTAGCTTGTCTTTTCATTTTCTTAACAGAATTTTTCGAAGACCACGAAGGTCTGGGGTTCGTGCAGGGGAGGCTGAGCATTGGAGGCACTTAGGTAAGAAAAAAGATAAATTAACCAAGGGTCAGATCCTTCTTGCTTTTCTTCCTGTTCCAATCTGTGATTCCAGTAGTCCTCAGAGATTGACCCAGTCTTTACAGTAGTGGCTGAGGAATATTTTTCAATATTAATTTATATTTCTCTTGAATTTGTATATATGTAGGTCTAGATGAAACGTGCATTTGACTTAAGGAAAGGACTGAAAAAAAGCAACTTATAATTTTAGGCATCGGTTTAAAAAATTATCGAGGGCAAGTAGATGATACTGGTATTGACACGGTTAGAAAAGATAAAGGAGAACAAGCCAGAATTTTGGCCAAAAATCCAGAAGCATTTTTTGTGCTCTGTGTCCGTCACTGGGAGACCTGACCTCAGTTGTGCTGATCATGATGACATTCTCTGGGAAAATTAAAAGCTCATATACAATATTTTCTGCATCTTCCCAAAGAAACATATTGGAAAAACACATCACATTTGACCTTATAACCGCCCTTGGATATGTGTTGGCTGTGCTAAGTGCTTTAAAGCAAGTCGATTTAATTTAGATACTAGAAGAACTAGAAGAGTTAAGCAAAACACCCGGATGATTCTCAAATAGAGCAAATTATGGTCGCAAGTGGAAAACAACATTACTCTTGAATCTGCACCACCCACAGATATTTGAGATGGACTGTTGCTTATTAATAATATTGACAAAAGTTTAACAAAAAATCCAAGCTTGGCTATTCTACTTTTTTTTTTTTTTACAATTGATAAACCAATATTGATACATTATTATTAACTGAAGTCTCCATTGAATTGCTTTTGTACCTTTGTCAAAAATAAGTTGGGCATATTTGAGTGGGTCTATGCCTGGGTTCTTTATTCTGTCCCTCCACCAATGCCACATTGTCTTGATTATGGTGGCCATACAATAGGTCTTAATATCAGGTAGAATGATCCTCCCATTTTATTCTTCCTTTTTAAGAATTTTTTTGGCTACTCTAGGGCCTGTCCTGTCCATATACATTTTAGAATTAGCTTATCTGTGTCTACTAAAATTCTTTCTGGGATTTTGATAGGAATTACACTAAACCTTTAGATTAATTTGGGGACAACTGACAGCTTCACTCTGTTGAGTCTTCCAATCCATGAACGTGGTAAGTGTCTCCATTTATTTAGGTATTCTTTGAGCTCTTTCATCAGCATTTTGTAATTTGCAGCATACAGATTGTGTCCTTGTTTTGTTAAGAGAGGCAGCCCTC